CCTAAAAAAGTACCCAAGTCATCCAAAACCCAACCAAACTCAGTTATTCATTTACCCAATACACGTTTAATCTCCTCAGCCTTTCCCCGCACTAAGATGGCTATCTTTTGATCAATGTTTTGTTTCTTTTGAAAAATATAGCCCATGTGATCTGACTACCTTCTGCGCATAGGTTTGTTTCCTAGGATTAATGCGATTTAAGAGCTAAGAAATAGCCAGGTATGATATCAGAGCCTAGTAAAGGTTTCCTCTCCGCTCTTAATCGAGCTCAATGGCTTCAAAAAGCGACTTGAAGTTTCCGGCTCGAAAGCCCTGCACAACAAGAGGAGAAATGAATTAAAAAAAATCACTCTGTTGCATATTCACCTGAAAAATTGATGTGATCAGTCTAATATACCGACAACGGTTTGCAACTTCAATTTTAGCTACTTTCTAGCCATCCTGTGTTTGTATGAATGGAAGACGATTGAAGACCAGAAGAAAGTTTTCAGACAACGGGGAACTCTTGATAGAGCAGTTTTCCATCGATAATCGAATGTGATCCTGGATTGCATTGCGTTTGCTATGCTTCGCTCTGTGAATGGTTTAGTAACTCATGCCACCTTCTCAACCTATCGGAAGCAACACAGACAACATTCACGACTTGGTTATTCGCGTTTTCCCGCGCTTTCTTCGCGCCTCAACTTTGAGAACCAACCGGCTTCTTAAGAAGTATTTTTTTCGATCTCATTTATCGCTGGGATGCCCTTAGCATATAATTTACGACATTCAGTCAAAGTCTCTTTAGTTGTAATTGCCAGCTGTCTCTTCACCCCAGACGAAAAGAAGATACATCCTTAACAATACAACAGTACCCTCCTCATCAGGGACCCTACCACACCACCCCTCCCCTCTCTCACTTGGTGATTGTGCCTCTGTATAACTTCTAAAAATAGTGTCGGTCTGTCCTGCATTGGTTTTTTGAAATTCTGCAGCAGGTAGCCCTTGTCATCAAAATCGACCAAAATCTTCAGATCCTGAAGCTAGAACATCAAAAAACGATACTTAAACAGAGATTACTAAAATTTGTGCCCCTAACGCTGGAAGCCTGAAACTTGTGCCAACCTCCACCCCCCCCTCCACCATCAACTTTAGTTTGATAACAACTAAAAGTTGATTAATAATCAAAAGCAGTCCTAGGTACTCATTACTAATTCTCATTACTGTCTTATGATGTGAGTTTAGAGAATTTGATATTGGATCAACTAATAATCCCTTGGTTGATAATTTTCATTATTCTCATCCCTTTCCTGCCTGATACGGTATTGTATTGTAAAGAGAAATTCTGTCTTGGTCATTCATGGGAGTTCAAGGATTAATGCAGCCAGTGTTTGAAAGCCTTGGTTCATGTAGCTTATGATAGTCACTAAATTTCCTTTCCACTGTTCCATCCCTCCTCCTACCCCCTGGNTCAGTGCATTCTCTCCTGCCCCAACCCTATGCAAAGGAGACAGAGCAATGGTAGTGTGTCCTTGGCCAAGACCCTGAACTCTTGCAGTAAAACTGTCAGGTAATCCTGATGAAATACAGGGGGGACCCTGTGATGAACAGGCATTCTTTACAGGGGAGGGGAGGGGAATGAGGGTACTACTATTCACTTTATACAATTAAGAGACAAGATAAGCTGTGGTCAGACTGCCTCATCTGGCTGAATTTACCTTGAACCTTACCAATCCTATGCATTATTCCCTAACTCTATTAACTAGCTTTTTCACTGTTCATGATATTGCTACATGCGCATTGAATTGTGTCACAGATCATATTAGCTTTAGGTAAGGTAACAAATCTGATCCTACTGGCACATTGACGGATGTGTTGACTGACATGTTGGTTGACACACCACCGACATACTACCAACACTGAGCCGGAAGGAATAAATTACTGTGAGCACCAGCATATCATGGTGTGTGAAGCTTAAATTTTTGGGATAGACCAGTGCATGGGCCAACATGCTGTTTGATTCAAATTTATTACCCTTAGCTAATTCTATTTGTCACAGTCAAATCTACAGTTAAAGCTGTGACTAATGTTTCCATATATATTAACTAAAAAGTTCGCAGCTGGCTCATACATACTAACTATTTGTGTCACAAGGCAGCATGCAGTACATGGGAGTTTGTAGACAGACAATGAGATGCATGGCATTGAGTTGACTTGAACTATCTCATGGCCAAATAGCAGTATAAGTGAAATAATTGGCATTCATTCTTAAATAACATGTCAAGAAATATCTCAAGATCTGCTACAATCACAAAAAAGTATTTTCATTGTTTGTGACCATACTTATGATCCATGATATAAGAGCTCTGATGCATGTCCTGTAAACCAATCAGAACTCAAGAAAAGCAAAATACAATGGCTATTTTTAAAAGTAATAAATATACTCACTGTCTGAACAGTGGCAAAGGTCACTGTGCCATCTTCATCTGTTTCATCCCATGGCTTGTGAACAGATACTGCACCACGCTTAATGGCTGCCTGTATAACCAAACCAAAAAATTATTATGGTTATTATGGCAACTGAACTGAGCAGAGAGCAGTTTGTCCTGAAATCACACACTTGATTTCATTATCAAATGAGCACACAGTGAGAGTTTGATTTGAAATCACAATTAGTATGATTTCAGACCAGAATTGTACTCTGCTCAGTTCAGTTATCCCACAAAATTCAGTCACTCAAGTATGGGATATTATAGTTCATACAAATATTTATTATCCAGTAATGAGCTGGTCTGTAAAAATTACAAAAGTTGTCTTTCATTTTCCTGTGATTTGATTGGTTCCTTAAAACAAGCCTTGAAGTCAGATTGGTTGTTGTGTAGCAACGCTTTCTCACTGGCTGGGAAAAAGAAACAATTTGGAGCAAAAATGGAGTGAATCATGAATAAACTGCAGTAATGAGATCCAATTGGATTGCAAGTTTCACCAGTGTTTTGAAAGTGGATGTAAAAACTAATTAAAAATATTTACTGATTGATGCAAGGGGACTAAACCCTTCTATGTAGATGGACTGCTGGCTCTTAAAATTTGTTGTAGCAGTGACTATTCAATACAAGTGGAAGACAATACAAACAGGGGGGGGGGGGACTCAGTCAAGTGTGAACATGCCTGCTCGATATAAGTGAAAATTACTGTCATTACCAAAGGGGGAAAAATTACAAGACTTTGAACAACTGCATGACCTCTTAATACAAGGTGACCACTTTAAAATACCTTGCCACTAACGGGTGTCTCGAAAACTCAGACCTTGAAAACGCAGACCTCAGACCCGAAAAACTCAGACCCGAAAAGTAAAACATATTTACACCGCATGACACCCGCAAGCCAACTTGTTTACTGTTCGTCGATACAGTGCCATTACGTGCACTGATCATGAAAATTATCTGCCGAGAAAATAAAAAACAGCTTGCAGTGTTAGATACGTGCAACAATCATGAAAATTATACTCAACATTCGGATAGAGTTTTCTTTTCGTTATCGCATAAGCCAAGTTTATATCCACAACATGTCTTGTCATTAGAAGCCATTTGTGAGGTGTGTTGCGTGATGGTTCCCTGTATAAATACGGGACCAGCATCACGTGGCAGTAGCGGTGTATAAACACTGTGTATAAACAGTTCTTTGTTTATGTTTTCTTTAATATAACATAAGCTTTTAATCAATATTCGTGGTCAATTGCGATAAGACATTATCCATTCATGGTTACATTTTCCAAGCCACACGAGTTATTTTCTTTCCTTTCAATAAAAACGCTTGAATGTATTTACTGTATGATTCACTATAAGTAAATGTTTTTTGGAAACAACATTGCAATAAAACTGAACACTGAAATAACATTGCAACTGTTTGTTTTGAAATAAAAAATACTTATCAAAACGATTGGTTATAAACTCGATTGCTGGTAAAACCACACTTGATCAACAAAATGACAGCAATCTCAATCCTTTTACAGACAGACATCATTTAGATTACAGATTTAACAAAAACGACTTCTCCTCGACCATTAATGGTCTATTCTGCTCAAAATCCAATGCAGGAGACTCAATCGTGAGAATTTCTCAAAGTAGAAGGACCGTGAAAGGTTATATCCACTACTGTCACGTGACGCCGGTCCTGTAATTGTACAGGGAACCATCACACAACACACTGCGCAAATGGCTTCTAATGACACAACACGTTGTGGATATAAACTTGGCTTATACGATAATGAAAAGAAAAATCTATAGGAATGTTGAGTATAATTTTCATGATCGTTGCACGTATCTAACACTGCAAGCTGTTTTTTCTTTTCTCGGCAGATAATTTTCATGATCAGTGCATGTAATGGCACTGTATCAACGAACAGTAAACAATTAAGTCAGCTTGGGGCATTCATGTGGTGTAAATATGTTTTACTTTTCGGGTCTGAGTTTTTGAGACACCCAGAGGGTCTCAGTTTTTCAGGTCTGAGTTTTCAAGCCACCCAGAGGGTCAGAGTTTTTCAGGTCTGAGTTTTTGAGACACCCAGAGGGTCCGAGTTTTTCGGTCTGAGTTTTCGAGACACCCAGACGGTCTGAGTTTTCGGGTCTTTAAGTCTGAGTTTTTCGGGTCTTAGGTCTGAGTTTTCCAGGTCTGAGTTTTTGAGACACCCTGCCACTAAGCCTTGTGTCATTTGTCTATTGTGAGAAGGGGATAAGTAGAAATGTGCATCCCGATGAACTGATTTGGACTCTATGCCCTTATGTTTTGCAGTCACATTAGTGTTCTTCAATTAAGCTAGAAAAACTTAAGAATGAGATGGCATGGGCTACATGCTACCTTGCAACACACTATACTGGTTACCTTGTAAAGAGCAATACAGTCCTCCACTTCAAAAGCAATATCTTTCACTCCATCACCATGTACCATCAGGTGTTTCCCCATCACTAGCATAAAAAAAGTAGTTGTTAAATCATGCACAGCTGTGAACATATGGTAATAAACATTAAAATTTTTTACACAACAAAGCCTTGTTCTTCATTGATTATATAAAAATGGAAAAACATCAAGTCAAAGCATAATTGAAATCATTACCATGTTTGAACAATTCTGAGGACTTTACCTTCTGATATCTTTCCTGAAGGATTAAGAGGTGACTTGAAAACAAATATGATCTTTAAGAAATAGTAAAGGATGTGTTCCTTTGTAATTGGCCTTAGGTATAGCTAATATGTGAGACATTTTTATACAAACTACCCATGTTTGCTCAAAATTTGATTTACATATATGGATCATGGCTCAAGTATGAGGCCATGACTGACTTGGTCATGCAGCATTTTCCACATACCAGACCGTTTACTTAATTGTTTCTACTTTGAGTTGTTAATTTGGTTTCCTGTCAGTGATGTTTTATTCCCACTCATATGCATATTGGCTCCTGTAATTTCTTTGATTTAAGTTTTTCAACACTCATTACAAATGTGTACTATGATATCACAATAACACTGACCACTGGTCCACTGGTGGTAATTAAGCCTATTAACAACGATAACTACAATCAGCAACAAAACTGTCGACACATTGATCTTTTAAACCCCCTATTACTTCAAATTTATCTTCTCTCACCGCTTATTTACACTTCATTTTTGCACTTTGTTATTAGTTATTAGCTTTATTGTTTATATGTACATACTTAGCTTTTACCTTCATTCCACTGTTTCAGAATTCGTATATATGTGGAAATTTACTCATGAACTCTAACTTGAAAATGACCGTGGAGCAGTTGAAACATATATCGTTCATATTTTTTATTGCTCATTTTTATCACTAAATGTTTTATCTCTTTTGCTGTTGTTAAGTTAACCTATTTGCCTCCTTCACCCCAAAAACAATGTTGTATTATGATTTCGTGAACTTTGAAACACTGAAAGGGAGAGGGGGGCTGTTAATGATTTATAGTACTGTAGTAGAAATGGAAAAGTTATGCTTCACATAAATAGAACTCTTCCAAAATGATATGTCAGCTAATTTTGACATGGATTGTAGCAGGAGAAGCTGCAGAAAACCATACCTTGTCCTGTTTGACAGCATGTGCTACCACCTCTCTTGATCCTGTTTCAAGTCCCTTATATCCAAATGGTTCAAATCCCATTTTGTGGTAATAATATGATGCAGCCTGTTGATGCAAGAGAGTACATGTAGTTGTTTCCTTGCTAAATTTACATTTTGAGCAGTTTACAATTAATTAGTGGCAGGGTCAAGACTTAGATGTGGTGTGATCACTTTGGTAGGGGTCCCTGGTGAAAATCTTTGAAGGATCTTCAAAGATCTTCATGAGGACATTTGAGGATCCTCCAAAGGATCTTTATGAAGACCTATGAGAAATCTTTGAGGATCTTAACAATTCTTATTAAGATATTCAAGGATCTTTTATTTTCTTGCCAAGATCCTTAAGGATATCTTTTATTTTCTTGCCAAGATCCTCAAAGATCTTGCATTTTCTTGCCAAAATCCTCAAGGATCGTCCATTTTCTTGCCAAGGTCCTCAAGCACCCTTTATTTTCTTGCCAAGATCTTTAAGGATCTTGCATTTTCTTGTCCACATCTTCAAGGATCTTAAGATCTTGTCAAGAATTTCAATGATCCTTAAAAGGTCTTTGCAAGAAAATAAGAGATCCTTGAAGATCTTGACAAAAAAATGCAAGATTGTTGAAGATCTTGGCAAGAAAATAATAGATCCTTGAAGATCTTGATGAGAAAATAGAAGATCCTTCAAGATGTTGGTAGATCTTGCTAAGAATTATTTTGAAATATCTTCAATTTTCTTGCTCAGATCTCACCTCCTGGCTTAGCTCGCAATTGGTTAGGGTGCCGAATTGTGTTGTGCTGGAGGTCGAGGGTTTGAGCCCCAGCCGGACCTGAATACTCATGGTCTTAAAATAACTGAGGAGAATTTGCTACCTTTCTATAATAATTATCAAGAAATGGATAGATATTCTAGTCTTCTCGGATAAGAACGAATAAACCCTAGGCCCCGTCTCCTGCAGGGTCAGGGGCAGGAGATGTTAATTTCCATGCACGAGATTACTGTGTGGTAGATGTTCTCCCCTGGGGTGAGGTGGGTGGGTGTTACACAGGGCCCCATTTAAACCAGCTGAGTGCTGAAATGGGCTACCCTGTATAAATACTCGCAAATACAAATAATATCTTTGAGGATTGTTGTCAAAATTCTTGTTAAGATCTAATAATCCTGCCAAGATCTTTGAGAATCTTCATGAGTTCTGCCAATTATCTTTTGTGGTCTTCAACAGTCCTTCCAATATCTTTACAATTCTTCCAAAATATTTGACAAACTTCCAGAGAACTAATTGCGAGGGAAACTTAACAATTTTGCTGTAAATATGTGAGGATCTTCAATAAACATTATTATATTTATAACAATTATGATAAGCCTCAAAACATTTATAAATTGTGGAAATATATAAATTTTTTATTGTGACCATAAAGAGTTATTTACACCAACCAATAGTATTAAACAGAAGAAAAACAAAAGGAAAGAAAAACTATGTGGGGAGAGTTAACAATTCAATAGTTTGTAGCTTTATAATACAATGAGATCTAATAACAAAACACTTTTAGTGATTTTCTTCTGATAAAATAAACAAATATTTTTTTGCATAGCAATGGATGCAAAAGTTATTCTGTAGGGTTCTAACTAAGGAATAAGAGTGTAATTAACACAGGATTAACTAAACAAATCTAGCTACTAATAGGACAGTAGGAAATGTAGAAAAAAAAATGGAAACTTGCTGTAAGTTGTTAAAATTGAAAGATCTTAGTCAAGATTCATGTACACTATATTGCAAGATGTTTGGTAAAATGGAAGAACAGCTCCCCAAAATATCA